CCTCTTGTAGAGCCCATAGGGAACCAGAGAAATCCCAAGTCTAATGTTTCCTGGGGAGCATCACTACAATGCTGGAACAAGTATCAAAGGAAGATGTGATTGGTGGAGTGGAAAAACAGTGCATTTAGAGTTGAGAGACTTAGGTGCAAGTTTGTCACTGATCTGCTGTGTGACCTTGGGCTGGCACCATCTCATTCTGGGTGTTTATCCCCCATCACTTGGAGGAAAGACGGGATGCTCTCTAAATGCCTTTCCAGCTTTAGCACCCACTGGGACCCCAGCTCCCCGCCCTTGCTGTCCCTGGGTACCACCTCCAGCTTTCCTCCTGAGCTTGCAAAGCCTGGGAAGAGAAGGGGTTGGGTGTTTTTCTTCCATTTAAGCTCAGACTTATTAAGTGACTTGTCCACATTTCTCTGGAAGTGACAGGCAATGAATATGGAGTTCCTGAGGCACTTTGTCCAGATCTGATCATGGAAATCAGGAGAAAGACAAATAATCTCCAGATTGTCTGGGTTGACGTCGTTGCTAGAGGATGATGTTAATTCTGCTGTTTACAGAAATAAGTCCAGTGTGAGTCGAAGCTTTTTGGTGTCTAAAACCAGATGGTATTTCCTGCCTTGATCAGCCTCAGAGCTTTGGTTCCCATGGCAACCCTGAAGTTCCACCTACTGCAACTTCCCTGTTCTCCAAGCTTCTTCCTCTTCCACCATCGTGCTATGTTGGGCCCATGGAGAATAAAGCCAGTAACCAGCATGTGCACAGCATCTGACAGTTTACAATATACTCCAGCAGTTATTACCTCATTTAATCGTCACCACAGCTTTGCCAGATAGCATTTGCTAACTCCCCATCCTACAGATGGGAAAACTGAGGCCTCAGAGATGAGGCCATCTGCACTTTCAGCCCTTGATGGCGTAGGTAGAAGTCAAACCCAGGTTTCATGATTCGGGACCTCTATTGCACCAGGATGAATATGAATACCCTGCCCTGCAAATCACCTACTATGCTTATTCCTAAATGATCATTTCCACAAATAAATCAGGTCTAATCAAGGCATGGCAACTTTAAGCAAGTTACTTCACTTCTCTGTGCCTTACTTTGCTCATTTGTAACACGGGTTGTAGTAATGACACCTCTGGGTGGATAAGAGGATTAAGCATGCATGTACCACCAGAAGAAATGCTTACTGGTGTTGAAGGGAGACCTGGGAAGGCAGGGTGAGTCTCAGTTCTGCCCTACCTGTGTGACTCTGGGTGGGTCATCTTGCCTGCGGAGCCGGCTTCCCCCGGTGTAGGAGGGAACAGCATCACAGTGCTCACACGCATGTGGTGCTTGAGAAGATAAGTGCGCCGCCTCTCACGCTGCAGTGCGCATACGCATCCCCTGGGGACCCTGCAGGGCCTGCATTTCTCACAAGTGTCCATGGACAACACTTTGAGTAGCAAGGCTGTAGCTAGGAAAGCCCCACACAGGTGTTATGAGTGATCAGTCATGCAAAGAGCCATGCCCCCAGCAGTAGAAAGCTCAAGAAGCTTGAAGAGCTCACTGCAGGTGAGCAGGAGCCCCTTGGGTGGTTTTAACGGGGTGTGAGATTTCTGTCAGAAGGGCTCCTTCGGCCCGAGCCCTGGGCTCTGCAGAGCCTGGAACTCTTACGGGGTTCTGGTGAAAGCTCTCCCTGATCTTGCTCTCAATAGAGGACATAAAAACATCAATGTGTTACATCTTGCACAACAAAAAAAATTTATTGATAATGACTCGTGAACTCTTTAAAATAAACTTTAAATTAAAAGCTAAGTCAGTGTGACCCAGGAACGGTAAGTGGCCTATGTTTAAGTCCATGACAGACAGGGGATCAACGGAGACCTATCACGCGGTTCTAAAAACAGCCTGCACTTCATGCTTCCCCCGGTTTCCTTTGCTCCATATTCTTCCTTATGTGACTATGGTTTGTAAACTAAATTATGTGCATTTATTGCTACCAAATTAACAAATATTTTCCATTCATTCTTGCAGTAAGTCTGGCCGGTGCATCCCTGGGCCTTGCCACAGGTCCATATCCCAGCTTCTCTGCCTGCTCTCAGCTCCAGGGGCACGGTGGCTGCTGCTGAGGAGCTCCTATGCCCTTCAAGAAACAGTGAGAAAATGATTAAAAGCTTCTGTGCCCAAGGATGGCCTCCATGTCTCAGGCACTGTGTTGGGCATTGAACAACGTGAGTCTTCACAGCAGCCCTGTGAGCCGGGGTGTTGTGACACCAGTGGATCACAAGCTCCTAGAGGGCAGGGAATTTGCTTTGCTCCCTGGTGCATCCCCCGTGCCTACGAGGGTGCGCCATCAGTGTCTGCTGCATGGATGTGCTCGCCTACCCAAGAAAGGCTGTCAGCACCCCCACAGGGCCTCCTAGTCATGTGGCACCCATGAAGTCACCCTACAGAAGCTGCAGTGACAATGGTGTGCAGCCTCCAGCTTCAGCTCCTTCTTCGTCGCCAAGGTTCCCCTCCACACACACACCCAACAGTTTAGAAAGCCCCTTGTCACAGGCCAGGTTCCCTGGGAAGTGCACTCTGAGGTGAAGCAGAGCCTGCAGCCTGTTGCTTAGGGACTGGTCTTGGGACAGACACCTGTGGAAGGAAAGAAGAAATGCAGAACTGCGCGGAAGGAGAGGCCAAGGGCTGTGGCTGAGGCGGGGGACAGAAGTCCATGGGAGTCCACACGGCAGCCTCAGCTGCCTCGAGGGCACCCACAACTGAACAGGTCAGTCAAGTGGGTGTCCACTCCAATGCCTGGCCGCTTCAGGGAACACTCATCTTCGAACTCAAAGGGAGTGTTCGGGTCATGATGAAAGTGGAGACAATTATCCTGCTAAAGAGCTGTGAGCACATGAGGCGGAGAAGCTCTGAGCCACGCTGAGACAGGAAATGAGAACCAGAGGAGTGGTGAAGGGGCGCGGAGCAGGCGAGATGAGCTGGTGCCCTGAGAACGTCCTGACCTCTCCCCTCCACAGGACCAGGACCAGGCAGCCCCACCTCATTCACTGGCTCATTCTCAAAGCATTTTCTGTGCTGGGCTCTGGAGATACCGGCTGAAGACCCTCAGTTTATCTAGACCTCTCTGACAAAGGGGCACATGTATGTGGGAGGGAGAGGAAAGGAAAGACCCTAGAAGGGTCACACACCTGTCACACTGAACGGCATGGTAGAGATGAACAAGACTCAATGAAGGCAAAACACCAGCCAGGTCACGGGCACGCCCACACCACCCCCGCCCCCACACTCCGCCCCAACCTTTTAAAAAAATTATGGAAACATATGTAACATAAAACCAGCCATTTTAAGTCTATAGTTCAGTAGCATTAAGGACATTCACAACGTTGTATATTACCATTAGCTAATTCTACAACTTCATCATCACCCTGAAAGGATTAAGCAGTCACTTTCCATTCTCTCAACCCAGCCCAACAACGATGAACCTGCTCTCTCCATGGATTTGCCTGTTGTGGACATTCCACATAAATGGAATCATGGAATATGTGGCCTTTGGTGTCTGGTTTAACTTAGCCTACTGTTTTCAAGGTTTACCCAGGTTGCAGCATGTATCAACTTCGTTCTTTTTTATGGCTGAATAATATTCCATTGTGTGGATGTAAACTTTGTGTATCCATCCATTGGACATTTGGGTTGTTTCCACCTTTTGTCTACTGTGAATAGTGCTGCTATGAATATTCACATACAAGCTTTTGTTTAAATACCTCTTTTCAGTTCCCTGGGGCATATGTGTAAGAGTGGACGTGCTGGGTTCCATGGCCATTCTACTCTGAACTTATTGAGGAGCCACTCCCCCTTCTTTTTATAGCTTTTCACAGAACCACCGGGCTGGAAGGGATCACAAAAGTGACCTAGAACAGTGTTGCTCAAACATTTGGATTTCACACACCAGTAAAACTAAAACTATCATCACCATACTCAGCCTCTCCCAAAGTAGGAGGGACTTGTGTTGGAATGAAGGCCAGCATGTAAAATGGAAATATCCAGTGTCAAACTCATGGCCTCGTTCTTGCTTTTCTCATTATCACCTCCACCTGGTACTAGTGCGTGGGGACCACTGACCTGGTCCAATCCCCAGCCCAAGTCTGCATCCCTTCTCTAGCTGCCCTGGCACAGGCTGGCCTAGCTTCTGTTCCTGCCTGAAGAATGCTCCCGTCCCCGGGCAGCTCAGATCCCTGGAACGTTCTTTCTTGTGGAGTGCTGGTCCTGTGCCCATGGCCTCCCCAGACCCTTGCCCCACCCTCCAAGGTCCCCCAGCTTCCCCCCATCACCTTCCTAAGGGCCCCTAGGACTAAGCTACTGGGACCGGGGAAGCATAAACAAGGCAGTCCCAACTTGCAAGAATTCTTACTATTCTTGTGAGACAGGGTCTCGTTCTGTCGCCCAGGCTGGAGTGCAGTGGTGTGATCATAGCTTACTGCAACCCTGAACTCCTGGCCTCAAGTGATCCTTCTGCCTCGGCCTCCTAAAGTGTTGGGATTATAGGCATGAGCCGCCGTGCCAGGCCACTTGTGAGAATTCCTAAAAGAAACAGAGAATCACCAAGCTATTTATAGCTTTCAGAAGCCCTCCTCTCCAAATCGTGAACAAGTTGCAGAGGCTAAACAACAGGTTTCGTTTATTTGTCTTGTTGGCTGGGCTTATTCAAATTCCACGTTCCCCTCTGTGCTGACGACAGGCAGCAAGACACTAGGGAGTGTGAGGCCTGCACTCAGACCAGACTGTCCCTTGTCAGCTGTGTGACCTTGGCAAAGTTGGTTAGTATCTGTGTGCCACAGTCACCACACTGACAGAAAGAGGAGTTTCAGGATGCCTCACAGGGTTCCTGTGAAGATGAGGCAAGGTGACTTCTAGAAGCTGCGCCTGGTGGCCCCAGGGGCTCGCTCCATAGCAGCCATGACAGGCAGGCATTTGGGCAGTGTTTTACGCCTTGGATGAATGCAGTCAAAGTGGGAAGATAACTTCACAACATTTAATACACACAGGCCGACAAACAACAATCTTTCAAAGAATTAAGTCCCTGCATAAACATAACAATAAAATAATAAAAAGTGTCTATGGTGAGGAAAATGGAAACTCACTCTCTTGGGCAGAAACTAAAATGACATTCTAGACTCCTGGCAGTGGATACAGTGGCCCTAGTGAGGGCCCTATAGGGGAAGGCCAAACCCACTCCAGCCACCTGGAGGTAGAGACAGAGTTTCCCTGACAAGGATGGCCATGCCCTGTGTCTCTGCCCTGGAGAAGGCTCCAGCAGGAAATGGACACCTGGGAGGGTCCCTATGCTGATGCGAGACGGCTCCACTCTGCTGGACAGGGCCCCAAGTTGGCGGGGGTCCTGGAGGAAAGGGAGTTCTCAAGGGCAGGGAGATGTGGTCTCAGCCTTAGGAAGGAAGTGCGGTGCCAGGCAGGAGAGCCGAGGACAGTGAACTGGGCTTTGTGCTCGAGCTCACTACCTGTGATTCTGTGTGGATTTCCCTTCTGTCATTCCCAAGCTTTGGCAACAACTGTTATTTTTGGGACTGGATTCTCTGCTGGGGGGCTGAAATTAAGGCAGGGACTAAATCCACTCAGGCTGCATGTTAAGGAGGAGCAGAGCGCCCTGAGGCCAGAGGACCCACCTCACTCAGGGAGATTCCTTCTGTAGGCCAGGCCTGCAAAATTTGGTATCAGTTTTATTAGGGAAAATATCAGGTCGGTCTCTTTACACGTTGAACAGGAACTGCTGGTTAACAAGACACGATTAACTTGCTAGGAATGGACAAGGACAGCGACAGGAGAGTGCTTCACAGCACCTCCTGCTGATGGCACCTTCATTCTGGCTGCAGAATTCTCCCAGGAAGGGTCCCGGGCTCTTCAGGAGGCATTTACTTGGAAGCACAGCTCAGCGTATCTGTCCAAAGTTGTCCAGCCTCCAGCCTGGCCCATGTCTTCAGGCAGCTCTGAGGCAAGAGCAAAAGAGACGGGTTCCCTGCCCCCTTTTCACCCACTGGATCAGCTTCTACGACTTGGCCAAACTACCTTTCTTTCTGTCTGCCGTGCTGGGAATCCCACTGACAGCAAGACCCAGAGTCAGGCACATTTGGGGGACAGGTCCATTGGCCACTCCTCACTTCTGTGGGCTCCGATGCCAGCAGAGCCACGTCAGCAGCTGCTACCTCTTGCCGGAGGGAGTTTCTTCTGGCCTCACCCACCCAGCCATGGCTACGTCAGGGCAGAAGGGAGAGAAGAAAGAAGAGAGATGAGATGAAAGGATTTAAAATGTGCAACCATCTTTGAGGTTTCCCACATCTGCACTGCTCCACAGTGTCAAAAGGGCTTTCACTTTCACCTGATCCGTGGGGGCTGCTATCCCCTTGTAACCAAAAGGGAAACTGAGATTCAAAGGGAGTAAGAAACATGCTCAGTGTCACACAGCGCTAGGTCTGACTACGTCCAGAGCTCTTTCCAGGGTAACAGGTTGCTTCTACTCATTTCAAAGGACCAAAACCAGAAAAACACGCACCCAACTGACGCCTCCTACCTGACGATCTAGAACTTACACATTACGTGCTGCCTTTGCACATGCCCCGGTTGGGATGCCCTTTCTCTTTCCTGCCTAAACCTGCCCTTCGAGGCCCCACTCCAGCTCTCTCCTCTGGGGTCTGCCCAGGCAGAGTCTGAGCCATCATCGATGACTTTCCCTGAGCCATATACCCAATATGCTTCATCACCACACCATCTCACAGACGTGCTTGTCTCCTCTAAGATACTATGGGGTTCCCTTGAGGGCAGAGAAGTCCTTTTTCATCTTTGGAGGCAAAGCATACGAGTGGGGCTGGCACAGGGTAGATGCTCAGTAAATGTTTGGTAACCAAAAGAATTAAAAAGTAAACATTCTCCTCACAAAACCAGCTGGCCTCCATACAATTTTGCGGTGCTGAACTAGAGGCAGGAGCCCTCTGTGGCCAGCGGGAACTTGGACATTCAGTACCCAGGACACGCCAGCAAGACACTGCCTGGGTGCTGGGAAACAATGCCCTCCACCCTACAGGAGAGCTCAGGGTGGAGCCTGAGCTCAATGCCCTCAAGGCTGGAGAGCTTTCGGAACAGGGACCCTGCCATCTCAAAGCAGGCCCCGTCCCGACGTCCCACTGCCAAGCAGACCACCTCTGCAGAGAGCTGCTGGGGACAAAAAGGTGACCACCAACGGCCCTGACCCACTCCCAGGGCTGCGAGGTCTCTTGCCTGCCGCTGTTCCAGTCAAAGCGGGGCTTCCCCAAAGGTGTCCAAGGAATTCCAGTCTTGCAAAAGCACCTTGGAGAAGTGATGAGAGTAATGTGGGAGACACTACGAGCTTCTTGGTCCTGTGAAGAGGCCTGACATGTGTGGGCATGCTGAAGGTTATGAGAGGCCTGCAGCAAAGATGATCACGTAGCTCGCTTTAACTTGGTGTCTGCCAAACCTACTTGACAGGGAACCTCACCCCACTTTCACATACACACCCTACTTTTCTTCATGGAAAACCTATTAACATCCTGTGGAACTAGAGTTCCAAGGAGCACAATTTTGGGAAATGCTGGTGAAGGTCACCGAGCAAGGGAGGTGCTTCTTGGGGGGGGGGGGGCGCAGCCTCCTGGAAGCAGGCTGGGGACACATGTGGGAAGGGAAGGGGGTGATCAAGGACCAAAAATCACAAAAATAAGCACCCAAACGACCCCTCCTCCCTGACGATCTATAGCCTGCACGCTCCGTGCTGCCTGCGCACATGTCCCCGCTGGGGTGCCCTTTCTCTTCCCTATCATCCGCATCCAAACATGCCCAGAAAGGGTGCCAGGGACCTCTTGTGAACCAGCACACAAACTTCCTAGGAGGAAAAGCCTTGGACACTTGAGTCCAGTGAAAAAGAAAAGAGAAGCATTGTCTGGAGCCTCTGCTGTCCTGTCTGCAAAACGGGAATAGCCCCGCTCCATCCAGGGTCATCCACTGAGTTCATGGAGGTCTACATTTGTAGAAAGGTGACCCCCCGGCACAGCTGTGTATCATTGGTGTTCAATCAGACTTACTGAGTGGAAGCTATACCAGTATATGGTTATGAAAAAAACAGCACCACAGCAAAAAGCAGGCACAAAACCTCAAAGTACATAACGTCAGGGGCCATGAATTTCAGAGGCAAACAATTCTAGGCCTACTGTTAACCCCTGAAGCCATCAGTAAATTAAAACAAGAATCTGAAGTGCTTCTAGCTCCGAGAGTCTATAGGAGTTAGTGGAAAAGGCACAGGCTTGCAAGCCCACCAGGTCCAGTTCTGAGCCCAGATCTGCTCCTTCTGGGCTGTTTAACTGGCAAGCAGCTTCCCTCTCCCTAAGCATCCAGTTCCCAATGTGCGAGATGAGGTTACACGATGCCCCCTCCAGGGTGGCCATGAGGATGGAATGACAAAGATAAAGCTGCAGCACACAGTAGGAGATGAATGAGTTGTCTCCTTAAAAAGGCTGGAACATGAGAAACCTTTGTATAGGTGTCTGTCAGTAACAGCTAAATGAAATACTTTGTCTTCAGTCCTGTGGAAAGTTGGCTTCTGTGGGTGGAAGGCTGAGAGGATTTAGAGGAAAAACACCCACTATCAGGGCAGGGGAAGAAAACGACGAGGCTCTGGGCAGTAAGATAACAACATCCTCTGAAAGCCAGCATAGGGGAGTGGGCTTTCATGGCTGGGGGAGAGACAGATGAGAGATGGCACCTCCCAAGGAGACCAACTTGTGGCTCAGCACTGCTCAGGGTAGAGATTAGAATTCTGTGCAGACCCAGCACTTTGGGCACACTGGTTCTAAGCTCCAAATAAGAGGCCATTGAGCTGCATCTGAACTTTGAACCTGAGTCCAGAGCACAAGGTCTGCCCCACTCTACCATGCTGCTTCTCAATGTCGGGACCATCTATTTACAGGTGTTCTCTTGCCCGTCGAGAGCCTGAAGGCTCTGGATGGTGTCTGCACACTCGGCACCTGGTATCTAACATAAATGCAACAAGCACTGGCTGAATTAGTCACTCACTGGAAAATATTTCAGAAAGCCACCGGGTTTTAAAAGTCAGGGCCCCTCTAATTTAGTATAATATGATATGGTAGGAAACAACACAAGACAATTCCCTTTTGAGGAACACAGCATTGACAGGATGTAGAAAAAATTCCAAATTTTCACTTCTTTGCCTAGAACCTTTGAGCACCAGAGGACTTTCACGATATGACCCATTAGTCTTCTGCTTCCACTTTCAGTGCAGAAAGTCCTGCAGTGATACGGGTGAGCACTGTGGAGTACCAGAGCATCATCTGGTCTGACCCTCCACTTTGCAGATAAGGAAACTGAAAGCTAGGAAGAAGAAGGGATCCACACAGCAGGCCTCCACTTCTTTCCTTCTATAATAGACTGTCTTTGCAATAAAGAAAAACGCGTTTGACATACACATCTTGAACGCATGCTGTAAGCTGTACGCAGTAGGGGCAGTGGAATGCTAGAGCAGTCACACACATAGCACTGAGGGACCCAGTGGCTGAAAGGGGGTCAAAAAAGACTCCATCTGACAGGTGACTTGGACCAGGAGGGACAAGTTAGAAGTTTTAAGGGACGATGTGGCAGGAGGGCTAACCTCTCACCATAATACATACCCCCCATCTAAGTCAAAAGTTGTTGCTGGGAAGCCACTATGTGGAGACTGCACATCCCGGCCTCCTCTGCATCCAGGTGGGGTCACATGACTAACAGCAGCCAAGGGGACGTGAGCAGGAGTGATGTGTGTTGGTTAAGAGCAAAGCAGGTAAGAAGCAGCCATGCCTTCTCCATCGTCCCTTTCCCTTGCTGCCAGCCAGAAGCAAACTCTGAGGCTCCCAGGGAGGGCGGAACACAGGATGAAAGGAGTTGAGTGCCTGCATCACTGAGTGAACCAACCTGCCAACCAGAAGCACCCCCACTGGACTGTTACATGGGAATCTGTCTCTGTGTGTTGAAGTTCGTTGCAGCAACAAGTACTACCAACGAATGCAGTGGACGTGAAGCAGGCATCCCGAACAAAGGGAACAACGTGACTAAGGAACAGCAGTGTGACGGGGGCAGGGCTGGGGCCGTGGCCATGTGAAGGGGTCCCGGGATTCAGAGAGCTCACGCTGGTGGCTGCGGGAAGGAAGATCACGCACAGGGGCTGTTGCCAGGGGCCCTGGTGTTGCTGGCGCTGCTCTCAAAGGAAGAGTGAAAGTTGTGAATGGTTTCCTGTAAAATTTGTCTCTCGCGTCCCTGCGGAGGAAATTGAAAACAGACACAGAAAGTCTTATTAAACCTTTTAACCATTAATTCAATTGACACAGTGTTGTTAATGTTCAACTCATACTTGAAAAACCCATGGGCGTCTCGGGGAAAATAAATTACCTAATTGAAAGAGTACCGAGTTCAATAAAAACATACTGAGTCAGAATCTCCCCAGCACCCAACATCACAGCCTGTCAATGCTGCAGAGGCCCTGGGATGCAGGACCCCAAACCCCTGGACAGAGCGGGAGGCTGAGCCCGGGGCAGGACTGACTCTTCCCGAGTCGCATGGCCCAGATTCGAGGTCTCCTTTCCTGCGCCTCTGTGCATCTTTCCAGTCCTCAGATTTTCAGAAAATTCAATGGGAGCCCAGTTTCCTTCTGCTACAGGATAAGAGTTTAAACTGCCTTTGCTTCCCTTTGCCCAAAAGCTGCCAGATTTGTCTTCACAGAGATTCACTTCTCACTCTATTCCTACAACGCCCCCTGCCCCCTATACACACATTTTCAGATGAGAAAAGAGGGTGGATGTGAATGTTCCGTTAAGCCCAGAAAACATCATCACTGCATACCAGGCTCAGAGGCATCAATACTCAGAGATTAAGAACAGAGACTGGGTCCTAGCCAGAGCAACCAGACAGGAAGTCAAACTGTCGCTGTTTGCTGATGACATGATTGTTTACCTAGAAAACCCTAAAGACAGCTCCAGAAAGCTCCTAGAACTGATAAAAGAATTCAGCAAAGTTTCTGGACACAAAATTAATATACACAAATCAGTAGCTCCTCTATACAACACCGACCAAGCTGAGAATCGAATCAAGAACTCAACCCCTTTTATAACAGCTGCAAATAAATAAATAAAATACTTAGGAATATACCTAACCAAGGAGGTGAAAAACCTCTACAAGGAAAACTAGAAAACACTGCTGCAATAAATCATAGATGACACAAACAAGTGGAAACACATCCCATGCTCATGGATGGAAAGAATCAATACTGTGAAAATGCCCATACTGCCAAAAGCAATCTACAAATTCAATGCAATTCCCATCAAAATATCACCATCATTCTTCACAAAATTAGAAAAAAACAATTCTAAAATTCATATGGAACTGAAAAAGAGCCCACATAGCCAAAGCAAGACTAAGCAAAAAGAACAAATCTGGAGGCATCACATTACCTGATTTCAAACTATACTATAAGGCCACAGTCACCAAAACAGCATGGTACTGGTATAAAAACAGGCACATAGACCAACGGAACAGAATAGAGAACCCAGAAATAAACCCAAATACTTACAGCCAACTGACGTTTGACAAAGAAAACAAAAACATAAAGTGGGGAAAGGACACCCTTTTCAACCAATGGTGCTAGGATTACTGGCTAGCCACATGTAGGAGAATGAAACTAGATACTCAGCTCTCACCTTATTCAAAAATCAACTCAAGATGGATTAAGGATTTAAATCTAAGACCTGAAACTATAAAAATTCTAGAAGGTAACATTGGAAAAACCCTTCTACATGAAACCCTTAGGCAAGGATTTCATGACCAAGAACCCAAAAGCAAATGCAATAAAAACAAAGGTAAATTGTTGGGACTTAAACTAAAGAGCTTTTGCATGGCAAAAGGAACAGTCAGCAGAGTAAACAGACAACCCACAGAGTGGGAAAAAAATCTTCACAATCTATACATCTGACAAAGGACTAATATCCGTAATCTACAATGAACTCAACCAAATCAACAAGAAAAAAACAAACAATCCCATCAAAAAGTGGGCTAAGGATATGAATAGACAATTTTCAAAAGAAGATATGCAAATGGCCAACAAACATATGAAAAAATGCTCAACATCATTAATGATCAGGGAAATGTAAATCAGAACCACAATGTGATACCACCTTACTTCTGCAAGAATGGCCATAACAAAAAAAATAAAAAAACAGTAGATGCTGGCATGGAGGTGGTGAAAAGGGAACACTTACATTGCTGGTGGGAATATAAACTAGTACCACCACTATGGAAAACAGTATGGAGATTCCTTATAGAACTAAAAGTAGAACTACCATTTAATCCAGCAATCCCACCACTGGGTATCTACCCAGAGGAAAAGAAGCCATTATATGAAAAAGATACTTGCATACACATGTCTATAGCAGCACAATTCACAATTGCAAAATCATGGAACCAACCCAAATGCCTATCAATCATTGAGTGGATAAGAAACTGTGGTGTGTGTGTGTGTGTGTGTGTGTGTGTGTGTGTGTGTGTGTGGTGGAATACTACGCAGCCATAAAAAGGGATTAATTAATGGCATTTGCAGTGACCTGGATGAGACTGGAGACTATTATTCTAAGTGAAGTAACTCAGGACTGAAGTAACCAAACATCGTATGTTCTCACGTGTAAGTAGGAGCTAAGCTAGGAGAACGCAAAGGCATTAAGAATGATACAATGGACTTTGGGGGATAGAGGGGGAAAGGATGAGAAGGGGGTGAGGGATAAAAGACTACATATAGGGTGCAGTGTACACTGCTTAGGTGATGGGTGCACCAAAATCTCACAAACCACCACTAAAGAACTTACTCATGTAACTAAACACCATCTGTTCCCCAATAATCTATGGAAATAAAAAATTAAAAACAACAACAACAACAAAGAACAGAGACTGGGCTGGGCATGGTGGCATGCACCTGTAGTCCCAGCTACTTGGAGACTGAGGTGGGAGGATTGCTTGAGCCCAGGAGGTCAAGGCCAGCCTGGGCAATAGAGCGAGATCCTGTCACAGTCTAGGTTTAGAGCCCATTTCTCCCATTTGCTAGCAGGGTCACCCTGAGCAAGATACTTAATCTCCCTGGGCCTTGGTTTCCTCATCTACAAAACAGGGATGATAACAGTCCCTCAGGTGATGGCTACGGGATTGTCAGAAGGCCTCAGACACAAAGCTGTCCATTGCAGCACCATTTATACAAAGTTTGAAAATCTGTATAAGCAACAGGTAGGAAATTTTTAAAAATTAATTTTAGCACATTTCCCCATCAGACCTTGTGTGGGTAGCTGGAGGCAGACAGGTCCTATCCTCAGAGGGCAGCAGCAGATTAAACATATTTTTAAAAATTAATAAATATGGTCAAAATGTAAATTAAATTAAAAATGTGTCATCTCTGGCAGACTGTTCTCTACTAAGAGTGAAAAGGGGGGAAAATCCACTGAATGAGCCCAGACTTCAAACTTTCTTTCATTTCATGGGCTCCCTATAGGCCAGAGGGGCCCCTCTCCAGACTCCCACACAGACACGTCTTGTGCTGATGAGGCCTCCTAGACTCAAGAGGACAGTAAGATTCTCCCTTCATCCCAACCCATCCAAACAATTTTAAATAAGTTGGAAAAATGCCCTCCAGATTCCATCAACACAATCCAAAGGCTGGAGGGTATGACAGAGCATTGGATGCCAGGTCAGAGCATCTGGAATCCCCACTCTATCACTGATTAGCGCCAGCCTCCCAGGCCCGCCCCTTTTCCGCTAAGTATCTGTAAAATGGGGATAATGTGACCTGCCAGGGCTGCACTGAAGCTCACCCTGAGATAATGAATGGGGTGGCACTGTGCAAACTGCAGAGGGCTAAAGTGTAAATGGAAGGGTTGACAACAATTTTATTATTAAACACCACCTTAGCCTTAATTGCCTGAGAAATGAGGTCAGAGCAAGACAGGGTTCCGGCCCTCGCTGCCTGCTAACCTTAGGAGGGAGCTGCAGATGATTAAAACCGTAATTGTTTCCTGCATCTACAACTGATTGAAGATGATAATGATAATTGCCCTTTAAAAACCCCTGAGTTTCAAAGGACCTGCCTGATAACTCTCAAAAGGAAAAAAAAAACCAGTCATTAAATGTAGAAAAAAGGTTCACCTATCTAGTATTTCAAAAAACGCAAATTAAAACAAGGTACCTTTTTTTGCCTATCAAATTAATAAAGATTAAAAAACAAACTGATGTAATACTGGCAAAGCTGCAGTGAAACGAACAACAAACTCTCACACACTCACAGCCAGTGGAACTGTTCACTGGCTCTTTCCAGAAAGTTATTCAGATGTACATATACCTTGATTCCGCCTCTTTGATTCAGTAATTCCACTTTCAGACATCTACTGTGAGGAGATGATTAGAAGGCCTTAGACACACAAAGCTGTCCATTGCAGCACCATTTATACAAAGTTTGAAAATCTACATAACCAACAGGTAGGAATTTTTTAAAAATTAATTTTAGCACATCTATGCAAATTTATATGAAAAAGAGTTCTTAATGACATGAGTAGCTGCATATATTTCATATTAAAGAAAGCAGGAGATAAAATTACAGACCCAAATTTATCTCAGTCATATTTTTTAAAAAATTTAAGGGTGTGGTGATGCGTGCTCATAATCCAAGCTACTGAAGAGACTGAGGTGGGAAGATCCTTTGAGGCCAGGAGTTTGAGGCCAGCCTGGGCAACACAGGAAGACCCCATCTCTTTAAAAAAGAAAAAACAAAGAAAAAGGACACAAAACACTACAGAGTAATCTGCCCAAAGGTGAACAGTGTTGGCCTCTGAGCGATTGGATTGTGATTTCTTAAAGAAATTCTTTTCACCATTTTGGTACTGTGTAAATTTAATAAAATCATATGCACTGCACTGACAACCACAAAAAAAGGGCAACAGAAAGAAACAATGACTTAGAACGAACTAACTCCTCATTTCTGGTAAACCTCCAATATGTAACTCGTCCAAAACTAACAAACTAATGAGCAGGCTCGAGCACACATTACAATTCCAGTACTGGGGTGGGTTCATCTGGAAGTGATATGGCTTGCAGGCTGGGAGTCCACAAGCTTTGCTAATATTACTATGCCTAATAAGACTTGCTGATGTTATTATATTATGAGCCAGGTGTTTGGTTAATACTCACTTAAAAAAATTTTAGGCCAAAATGCTCAATCTTATTGATTGTGTAAAAAAGGCATTTTATATCACACCCTGTTTTCATGTAAACATATATAACTGAAACATTTTGTCCTTTCTATCTGCAAAAGCATGTTGCTATTTTCTATTCTATTTCCTAAAATGTGCTGCTCATGCCCCATTAAATGGATTCTAAAACCCATCAGTGTGCTGTGGGCCACAGCTAGAAAGACACTGCAGGGAAGGAAAGCTGGGTCTCCCCATCTCATGTGTCCTGGTCTAGGCTCTCCAATGTGTACAGAGCACGAGAGCCATAATGGGTACCCTCTCTTGGTTGGCCAAGCTTGCGTTGCAGAAGAAAAAGTATGAATGTTACAAAGAGAAGTTCATGCCCTATAGCAAAACCAAAGAGGCAGGAACCCTTGATGTCAAGGTCAGGCAAGTCCAGTCTAGAAGAGCCAAGGCCCAGAGCATCTGAAGGCTGTAAGCACAGTGAACTGGCTCTTGGAAGCCACCTTTGGCCTGAGGAGCTCTTTGCACATCTGAGAACCAGCACACAGTTGCAGTGCTAACTTAGAATAATGCAGCAGAAGTTAAATTTGCTTTTGTACTATTACATTTCTCCTAAACACGCCTTTTCTCGATGACTCATGATGATACACGGTCCTCACTTTCAGAGGACTTTATCTGGTACTATATTTACTCTTGAATAACAGGGTCTTTCTCCAGGGAGGTGGTTCAGATCGGCTCCTTCTCCTTGTACCTATTACTGTGTGGAACTGCCTGACTGCAGGGTGGATGCTGCCTGCTGGAGGGACATGGGTGGGATTGAGTGGTGCTCTTGGCCTGGCATGTCACAGGCACCTGGGCCTCTTGGTTGGGAGCTGGTGAGCTGGGCCCCTAAGTAGGACCACTAACAGCTGTCCCTTCTGCTTCTCCTGATGGGGCCTGTTTAGTATAGGATGCAGACTGTCATAGAACAGGGAATGAGGGGAAGGGGGGATGAATTTGAGAGGAAACTGAAAAAAGGCTCTAGTCTGTATAAACTTTAAGAACAATGTCCTCTATCAGGATGGGCTCAAGATGTCACATCATTCACTCTGATGATGTCAGTTAAGTTTCCTAAGGTTTGCAAACTAGCCCAGTCTGTCTGCTTTTTGTGATCCTGAGCCAAGGAGGACACAGTCACAGAGGGCAGAGGGGAGGTTCTGGAAGCATTAGCAGTTGCTACCTGGTGGCTCAGCTCCCGGCCTGTCCTCTCACTGGCCCTGCCTCCAGAGCCTTTTCTGTCCTTCTTCCTTAACTGGCTTAAGCTTGGATTTTCCCCACTCCATTCTTTCCTTGGTTCACACATCTGGCCTCTGGAGGCCAGGAGGAGAAAGGTTCCTCTAACACCTGGGCCACAGCCCTTCACCGCCCCGCCATCCCTCAGCCACCTCTCCTCCCCAAAGGCCTTTCCCTTACTTGATGGCGTCATCCTTTACCACCTTGGGTGCCTTGCTCTGTCCCTTGGGCTTCCCCACATCTCATGTCTCTTGTTCTGTGCTCCAGTCATTCCTTTATTCTTCAAACACACTGTACACCTCACCACAGGGCCTTTGCACGTGTGCCTACCTCTGCCTGCTCCGCACTTTTCTACTGGTTTCCACTCTTGCTTCAGGTCTCAGCTGCCTTGCCACTCCCTCAGAGGTATCTTCTCAGCCCTGACTCCAAGCCAGGAGCTCTCACAGCACCACCTGCCTCTCCTTTATGTGCTGTGGGTTAGTTACACCGAGGCAGCTGGAGTCCTTGGGTGAGTTCCTCAACTTCTCTGAGCCTTGGTTTCCTCATCTATAAACTGAAACTGACTTCAGCGGCTTTCGTAAGGATTAAATGAATGACTATAATGTATGACATGCTCAGAGCACAACGCGAGGCACAGAGTGATTCTGAATGGTCAATACCCACACGGTGCCTGAGACATAAAGGCTCTTTTTCATGACTAAATCGATGCCCCAGTCTTTAGAGATTGTTCTGGTTGATTCGCCTTCTGTGAGCCACCCTCAGGCTTCAGTTTCTTGGATGATGCCCTTCCTAACAGCCGAGATCTGCCTGCCTCTGACAACCTCCATACCTGCCTTACCCCCCTGCCCTCCCCGCTGACATCTAACAGCAGAGCAGAAGCGGTGCTGGTCCGGAAGTCAGGCATCACTGCCCAACTCTGAGCCTGGGCTTCCCTATATGTAAAGTGAGGTGGTCCAGGCCCATGCAACAACCAAGAAATGTTTAGAATCCGGCCATTTACAGAGGAGAAGTAACTAGTAGAGACTGGAGGAAAACTACTTGGCCTTGGGATGCCCAAAGCAATGCTAAGGGCATCCCTTTGAAGGATCACCTCGTAGCCTTCAGGCAGGAAATAGGAATGACGACAGTGACAACAAAAACCACCGCCTCCAATCCTGGCAGGGCTGAGAGGAGCCGCCTCTGCACAGCACAGTGCTGCAGAGAGGTGAAGAGACAGAGGCCAGGAAGCCTGGGTTTAGAGTCTCCCTCCACTGCCCACCACCATGTGACCTGGGCACCATGCTCCCCTCCCTAGACTGTGCACCCTTGCCAGCCAGACGAAGTAAGTGTAAGGACACCGGCCTCCTTGGGCTGTCTCCAGGACTGATGAGGAAACATATGTAGTGATTTGTAGATGATAAAGTACCATGTAAATATTTATTTGCTGCTGGTGCTATGTGTCTGTTCAATATTTCTGTGCATAGTCCAGCAACATAAAGAACCATAAAAGTGGCCATGCTCTCTGGTATCTCTGCATACTGTGGAACACAGAGGGAGGGAGGGAGGGAGGGAGGGAGGAAGGAAGGAAGGAAGGAAAGGTAAAAAGGCAGAGATGTCCATTATGGCAATATTCATAATAACAAAATTCCAGGCATGAGACTATTGTCCAGCAAGTAGAAAGCTGTTAGGCAAAGTGTGAAAAAGCAGCAGGTAAACAGCTACTGCACATTGTTGCTGGAAAAAAAAAAAAAGCCACCCTATATTAAGAAAAAAAGCAGACAGCAAAGGAGTTCCAAAAACCGAACAGCAATTACAATGAAGCTTGCAAAGTGAGTGGTGATTTGTCTTTTTTATTTTTGTGGTTCTTTTTGTTTTTGGTGTGTGTGTGGCTCTGGGTGGGCGCAGGGTGGGAGCATTGATATTTTTAGCTTTAAAGCTGATGAGAAATTTAACATGAGACAAAAATGTGGGAAGCCGACAATAGTGACTGACGGCTGTCTGTGTGCCAGGAGCTCTGCTGAGCATTTTAGTCCTTGACACAACACCATCATCCCCACCCTACAGATGGGGACAGCGAGGCTCAGAGAGGTGTTCGCCTCACCCCACACAGTAAGTGAAGGAGCTGGGATTCAAACCCAGGCCAGCCTGACCCCAGGGCCTGTCTGTGTCAAAGGCTCGAAGGCTCTGCTTTCACAGCGCTCCCGAGGGCCACACCTAGCCCTGTGCATTGAATTAGCTAAGTGAAGATTTCAGCTCAATCTGGGGAGAAACTTTATGGGGGAAGAGGCCATGCTGGGAGGCAGTGAGTGCTTGCTCACTGTCAGATATGACAGAGGAGAGGAAGTAAGACCTTCTCCAGATCCCAGGACCCTGGTGAAGCTCTCAGATGTCTGAAACATGGAAATACAAGATACGGAGAACAGTACCTTGCCTGCATTCAGTTCAGAAATCGCTGCCAGAATCTGCTGCCTGGACCCATCTGTCTTAATTCCCAGCTCCTTCAAGTCACCGTCAGTCAGTGTGAGGAACGCTTCCATGTCCACCTGGGGAGAGAGAGGGGATTTGCCACCATCTGCTGGATGCCACAGATTCTTCCCAGCCACAACAGCAATCTCATGATTATGAGCTATGAGTGCTTATTAGTAGTAAACTGATGATGATTTACTACTTCTAAGTCCTGACTTTATCTTTAAAGCATTGTTGAAAACATTTAAAAAAAAAAAGAACTCTCCTCAGATCTGGCTCTTGGATTTTCTGAACAGATGCATTTTAGGAAGACCCTTAAAATGAGCCAAGTAAGGAAAGTCTCTGAGATAGTCATCTGGGTGGCTAGAACAGGAGAAATCCAAGACCTGCTATTAGAAAAGTTAACTGCAATGTTGCTGTACTTTTAACAACGTCGGATACTGTGCAAACGTATGGCAGTACTCACCTCGTCTCCCCCACCATGCACGAGACAGAGACAGACTGTGGAAAGATAGAGTGAAGAAATAAGCAGAAACAATAAAGGAGAGAGGGCCATGGAGAATGAGAGCAGAGCTCAGAATAAGGGCATCCCAAAACTGCAAGCCTTGGTTTCTATGGGTGAGATCCTGATAGCTCTGTCAGCCCTGCCTGGCCCCTGGACAGGAAATCAAGCCCTCTGCTCCACTGGCTTCTGTTCCTCTACGGCAAGGTGGAGGGAAAGTCGGAAGGGGCTCCAATGAAGCAAGCACATCCATCACCCTGCATGTCGGACAACAACGGCCTCTGGCATAGGGGTCCACACCTGGCAGGATCCAATCCAGGTCCACTGGGAAGCCAGTCTCAGTGTTAGACCAGAGGAGGGCAGTGAGCACTATGTGTGCAAAGCACCTTCTGAGGATTTCAGATAGACTGAGTCATATGACATCAGCGGGGTAGATCACTATCCCCACTTTGGAGACAGGGAAACTGACACACAGAGTTTTTTTTTTTTAGCATTCAATGTAACATGGCCAGTAAGTGGCAGGGCCTGGCTTTGAACCCTGGCAGAGGGCTCCAGCATCTTCGCCCTTCTCCACAATGCCACATCATTCAGCCGCAGATTCCCTGGCCTCCCTCATGGGCTTTTCCTGAGGGCAGTAGCCCTCTTGCTAACATGACTTCACTTCCCTAAGCATTAAGGCATTGGGTCCCCGGTCTGGGCCCCTCCCCCTGGGGAGATGCTGTTGCAGACAATGCTACAGCTTCACAAATCAGACTCCAACAACAGCGCTCATCTGGGAGACGGGACAGAGAACTGGCTGCCCACACCCACGTCTTCAGCCAGAGCTAAGCAGGAGGCTGTGTTGCCCTGGAGACAGATAGGGTGCCAATTCCCACTCACTGCCGGGGGACCTGGGCAGGTGCCTTACCTCAGTTTCCCCACCGAAAAATTATAGTCCCACCATATAAATTACAGGGTGGATGCGAGATCTACAAAGAGAGTTTACAAACAGCTTTATGATCTACATTTACAAACTACAAGATACTATCACACTTTAGAGATATGCTAGTGCCATTTAAAATGAAACTTGCATAACTTCTTGAAAATCCTCAGTCTTTCACTTTATAAGCAGGCTTTATTTTACATTCCCTCATACCTAACAAGATTAAAATTTTTTTTCTTTAAAACATTTGATTTATGTAGGGATAGAGATTTTCTTTCTGAAATTTTCCCTGCTCCCCATCTTTCCTTTTCTCTGTTAACAGTCATTTTACTTTTCTGGATTAAAAACAAACAAAAACCTCGAACCAGGTTTGAGTCACTGGGGAAGAATCTGCTCCTTTAACCCATCCTTAGCCCTCCCTGAGATGCAGGCACCCCCATCCCTCTGGCAACAGTAAGCTCCTGGCATCTCTTGGGTGTTTTATAGCTCACGGAGTGCTGAGGGGCTGAATGGATGGGTGATGCCATTTTAATGGAAACCACCTGCCCCAGTCCTGCTGGACATGAGTCTCTCCCCACAATCCCAACCCCTAGCAGGGACCCCACATCCAGCCTGGCACCATGGCCAGTCCTCAGCGATTCTGACGTCCTCAGCACCTGCCCTCTTGGTGAGGGGCCCTCCACCTCCTAACTGGTCTTTCCCTCCCAGTTATTCTTCCCCTTCTGCCCTTCCAACCCCTGTCCACCTCCATACCAGAGGCTACAGACCTGTCCAGCCTGCATCTGCCTCAAGCCCGTGGTGTACAGAAGCAAGTCCACGCTGTCCAGGCCCTGCCTGGTCAAGCTCCATTCCCTCCTCCTGATGGGCTGGCCTTGGCCCAGCCCCAGCCAAGCCAGAGTACCACAGGCTCCCTCAATGAATCCTGCTCCCTCTTCCCAGATGCCCTTCCAGGTCCGTTCCCCCTCTTTCTCCAAAGTTCAGCTTAGTTCTCAACCCAGGTCTTCTCTGGCCCTCATTTCATAGACCCCTTCTCTGGGTTCCAGAGTATTCTGGGCATCTGCATTTCCCAGCACCCGGCTCTGGCAGAGGGTCTGGCAGGGGCAGGGTCTCAAGTACTTAGTGTGTGTTTGTTGACTGAATGAATGAATGACTGCATCAATCAATCAATCTTCTGCCTCTCCATCTGCACTGACCTTCCCAATTCTGACCTCCGTCAATCCTGGGAGATGCCAAACTCTCAGGGCTTATTCTAGGTGGAGAGCACCAAAGACGGAATTCCTCTCCTATGACTACTTGTGAAGGGGTAGCAGGAATGAGGCAGAAATATCCCAGTATCCTTTCAATATTCATGCCCTATTTTTTAAGCAACAGAATCCCAATTTTTAGCTGGGCATATTTCCACACAGTTAAAACATATTTCTGAGTTTCTTTTGCAGATCAGTATTGTCAGGTGATAAACTTCTGGTAAATGAGATATAATAAAGACTGTGTGGGACTTTGGGGAAGTCTCTTTAAAAAGGAGGGAATGCGTCCTTTTTCAGTCTCCTTCCATCCTGCTGCCTGGAATGTGGATGTGATAGCTGGAGCTCCAGTAGCTATATTGGACTTTGAGGATACAAGCCACGTATACTAGTGGGGGTGGAGCAGAGAGCTAAAAGGGGCCAGATGACTCATCTCCAGACTTTCTGTGGGAAAAATCACCTTATTTTTTGTTTAAGGTACCATTATTTTGGTATTTTTCAATACACATAGTCAAATCCACCTTAATACAGGTAGAAAGATGAAAATTATTAGTCTGTCTTTAGCTTCAATGTGGTAAGATAAGAACATGAATTAACTTCATTCCTCTTCCAAATTCTCATTGATTGACTGTAAGTGCATATTAATGGAGAGAATTGTTTACTGTTGGAAACTAGGGAAAAGTGCTATCTACATGCCAGATACTTCCAGGAGTTTCTGCAAGGGACTGAGAAGTACCCATGAAGCTGTGGTGATTGGGTCTGGTGGCAATCAGCAGGGTTAAAACCTCAGTCCTACTAAAGCCTCCAAGGAAAACACTGGGTTGTGGGTCCATATAGAGAGTGCACCCCTACAGTGTAACCAGCTCATATGTTGCCAGAGAGAAACTAAGTAAAATGAAGAGACACTCAGCTTGGCCCCCAGCAAGCACAGGCACCTGTGTCAAGTAGAGATGAGGGCACTGCCTCAGCTAACCTCACATGAACCTACCACACACAGAGGTCCTCAGCCAGTGGCTGCCAGCCCTCCCCATGGCACCGCCTCAGGCCCCAGCTCCCTCCCTGACCCCAGAGGCTGCAGAAACTTCTAGGTAAGTGAGTTATTAAAATTAGAGCGGTGCGGTGGCTCACACCTGTAATCCCAGCACTCTGGGAGGCCGAGGTGGGCGGATCACGAGGTCAGGAGATCGAGACTATCCTGGCTAACACAGTGAAACCCCATCTCTACTAAAAAATACAAAAAATTAGCCAGGCATAGTGGTGGGCGCCAGTCCCAGCTATTCGGGAGGCTGAGGCAGGAGAATGGCTTGATCACGGAGCTTGCAGTGAGCCGAGATCGTGCCACTGCACTCCAGCCTGGGCGACAGAGCAAGACTCTGTCTCAAAAAAAAAAAAAAAAATCAGAGCAAATCTGCACAGCCTGCCTTCCTCTCCCCGTGAACATTCTCGAAGCTCTGTACGTCAGCTGAAACACCCCCGTTCCCTACGCTGGGACAACCACAACAACCTCTGAATGAAGGAGAGGTGAACTCGCAGACATGCCAGGTCAGAAAAAGGGGTAAGGCCAAGAAATCAGAACAAATGTCACCCTGTGAGCCAGAGGCACGATACCTCAGGAAGCAGAAGTGTACTTTAAGATGTGTTCTCCTTATACTCCAAGAAGGCATAAACATATCAGCAAAAGCAGGCAGCGATCAGCAATAGGGAAAGATTTCTTGGAGAAAGTCATTGCTAAGGTTTAAAACACCAGGGAGGCAGGAATGGTAGACTGCATATGGCAGAAAAGCAAACAGGAGGAGGAAAGCTGCTGTACCCTCTGTTTGTTTCTTGAACTAAAATACAAGCTCCTCAACTACATCTCAAGTCTGGTGGGGACAATGAGTGATTCTCATGATTGCTCTGCAATTGTGACAGTTTTCACCTACTAAGCGGCTCACTAGAATGTTCTAAACCAGTGACTATACCCTGGTGGCTGGTGGGCCTGTGGAGGAGTTTTACTTGGCTAAAACAGTAAATTTTTTAACAGCTTACTGAGATATAGTTCATCCACCATACAATTCACCTATTTATACAATTCAATGATTTTTAGTATATTCACAGAGTTGTGTAACCATCACCACACACTCAGTTTTAGAACATTTTCATCATCCCCAAAAGAAACCGTGTATCCATTCCAGTCACTCCCCCTACTCTGCCCATTCCACCCGCCCACCTCTCCACCCAACTCTCTGGCAACCACGAATCTACTTTTCGTGTCTATAGATTTGCCTAGTCTGGACATTTCATATAAATGGAAGCACACCCTATGTGCCTTTTGTGACTGGTTTCTTCCACTTAGCAAGATGTGTTCTGGTTCATCCATGTTGTAGCATGTGCCAGTATTTCATTCTTTTCAAGGCCAAATAATATTCCACGGCACAGGCATATTTTATTTATCCATTCATTAGTCAATGGACATTCGGGTTGTATCCACAGTTCGGATTTCATGAATAATGCTGCTACAAGCATTTGTGTACAAGTTTCTGTGTGGACGTATGTCTTCATTTCTCTTGGGAATATACCTGGGGGTAGGACTGCTGGGTCATGTGGTAACTCTATGTTTAATATTTTGAGGAAGTGCCAAACTCCAGAACAGTATTTTTTTAATGTGAATCTGAATGCTTTTAAACACAGAGCAACTCTCTCCGACCACCACAGACCCTAGATCCAGACACATAACACAGGTTCCTCAGGGTTTACTATCAGCCCACTTTAAGCCTATAAGTCTGCCAGTCAATCACACACAACAAAAAAATGTTTTCAGGACAGAAATAAACTTTTCTAGAGAAAGTAGTGCTCAAAATTACAAAATTCTATCATAACAAAGCTAGCCATAAGTCCCCAGGATTTCACAACAACAAACTGAACTAAACCCGCTGAGCATGAATTCTATTTCCTCAGCTGTCTCAGTGCAAGAGATCAATTTAGGCTTGCAAAATGAAAACCTACACATTTAGACAAAGTTTTCTTTTACAGTAAGATTTAAATTGACATTCAAAAAGAGCATTCTTACCTCTTGTTCCTCAAAAATGGGCTGATATTTCTCAAGTGATAATTTCTTAAGGATTCCGGTCAGTTCATCTTCAAGAGGGAAAGGTGAAAAAAAAAATTTTAGAATTTGGTAAAATGTTATCAAAAAAGTGGTCTCCAAACTTCTATAAAGTAGTGGTAATCTTATTTCAAATGAAATTCTGTAAGAAACACCAACACAGAAAGCTGATCTCAGCTGGGCTCCTGCAGATGAGGCTGGAGGTGGGTCCTGAGCCACCTGCACCCTCTTCCCCTCAAGGTAGGTCCTCAGCAATTGACAAAACCCCACGTCAGGCTGCAAAGACACAGAGAGCCTGGGCCAGGACTGACTGATTCCCTCCAGAATGCGACCCTCAAGTTCTGGGAGTTGCAGCTGCCAGAACTAAAACTCTGCCTTCTGCGCGAGAAGGCACCGTAAATGCCAATGCCTGCAGTAAATGCCAATGCCAGCAAGTCCTCAGCTAGTGTGAGGAAGAACTTAAGAAAGAAGGTGGTGGGCTTCAGAGCAGAGCCAGGGTTTGGCTCAAGTGTGCAGAGGCTGTGGCATTCCTGAAGGAAAAAGGCATCTATGTGGAACAGCAGAGCCAAAAGGGCAAAAGAGGATGATTTGGGTGTCAGAACAGGGAGAATAAAGAAAAGGAGACAAAACCAGCACCTGAGGGCTTGGAGAAATAATTCACTCACACATTCAAACGTGATTTGCCCAACTAGGCACTGGGGACTCAACAGATACCAAAACAGACAATAAGAAGGCTGATAGGGGCCGGGCAGATGGTGCGTGCCTGTAATCCCAGGGCTTTGGGAGGCCGAGGGTGAAGGATCACTTGAGCCCAGAAGTTCAAAACCAGGCCTGGCACTACAATGAGATTTCATCTCTACAAAAAATTTAAAAGTAATTAGCTGGGTGGTGTGATGTGTGTGCCTGTAGTCCCAGTGACTCAGGAGGCTGAAGCAGGAGGATCACTTGTGCCCAGGAGTTTGAGGCCACAGTGAGCTGCAATTATGCCACTATGCCATTGCACTCTAGCCTGGGCTACGAAGCAAGACCCTGTCTCAAACAAACAAACAAAGGCTGATAGGCAAGACAGCAAGAAAGAAGAGAGCAGGATTAATGTAGATGACAGCATTTCCAGTTTTACAAACGCTGTTTTACAGAGGATGGTCACGGAAAGACTCTCTTATAAGGTGACCTATGAGCAGTAAATGAAGGAGTGAGTTATGCAGATATCTGGAGTAAGAGCATTAGGCAGCATCCAGACAGGGAAGAGCAGGTGCAAAGGTCCTGAGGCAGTGGATGCGGCTTAAATAAGTGATCAGGAGGCTTGGGTTCCTTCTTTTCTTAACTCACCCTCCCTCCCTCCCTCCCCTCCTCCCCTACTTCCCTTCCTTCCTTCCAGCACTGACTACCACTGTGCCCAATGGACACTGGGTAGCAAGGATGGAGAGGTCTCTGTTGTGATGCTCAGTGTGGCTGGGAGGATAGGATGAGGAGGGTGAAAGCTAATACACAGTGCTATCAGTCAGCCTGTACATGGATGAAACACTTGCTCTTTACAACACCAATGAGGTAGATCCTATTACTGTCCCCATTCACAGATGAGGAACTGAGGCACAGAAAGGCTCGATACCACATCTTGGGTGAGGTCATCTTGCTAGACTGTGGCAGAGCAGGGAATCAAGCCCAGTGATCTAGTGGTCTAGCTACTAGGCCTGTGCTAGGCACCTGCTCTCCACTTTTCTCATGGGTGGTGCATGCTATGGTGAAGAGCAAGAATAGGGCGAGGTGGGGACAGAGAGGACAGCTGACCCAGCCCAAGGGACTAGGGAAAGCTTCACAGTAGAAAGGCTACTGAGCGAGGACGTATGAGACAAATCAAATCCCAATCCACACATAATCTGTTGTATTTCATGACACCAAACCTTTGCTCTTGCCGTTCCCTACACATGCAGCCTTGGTCCACAGTGGTGTGCTGGTAAATGCTTAACAACTTGTTCTCGGGGGGAAGATGTATGCATGTATACAGGCACATAAATCTATTGTTGATTTTACTAATATAAATAATTTATGGCACACGATTTACAAATAATAAAACATATAATATTCTTTCTTATAAATTCCATATAGCCAATTGATTCTCACCAAATGCTTTCATTTGTTTTTGCCCTACTCTTGTACCCACAGCCAAGGAATATGGTTCCAACATGAACGCTGGCTGAGAGTTTTGTTTACATGAACAAGAAAGATAAAAAGAAACAACAAAGACTTAACGTTGGAACTTCAGGTGAGCAACTTGGCTGAATCAGATAACGATTTTCAAATACTGGAAGAATATTTTCTCAATTTTTTGTGCGATTCACAAGATGACAGTTACAGACACAACATACTTTTAAGTTTAACTTACCTCACTGTTAACATTTTTCCATCACTGCCTAGATTACAAGTGGACAATATCTATAAGACAACAAACCAAGCCCTGGATTGCTTGCGACCAGGGAAGTTGAGGCTGCAGTCAGCTGTGATCGTGCCACTGTACCCCAGCCTGGGTGACAGAGTAAGACTCTGTCGCAAAAAAAAAAAAGCAAGCCCTGATTGACGGCATTTGCCAGTTTCCATGGTGTGAATACCCCCATCATAGCCAATTTCAACCTACCAATCTAATATCCCTGAGAGTGAAGCTGAGCAGAGATGCGCAGTAGGAACACATCATTATGGGGTATTCACATTGCAGATATGAGATATACACAACCTCAAGAGCACAGATAATAAAATATACAAAAATGAGTAAAAAATACATTTTAAGTACAATATACTGTTATATTTCTATAATTTAGTTAATTCTAAGTTCATGTGATTTATAAATAATGGTTGTGTTTAACAACTAGCTTGGGCATTTCCTACAAACTGAACAGTCAGCTCTGGCACCCCACTGCCTGTCTCTTCTCAGCATCGTGGTCCAGCTGGAGTGCCCGTTTGCCAGGGGAGCCTTCCACAGCACATGGTGCTGATAGCAGGTATGACCTCACCTTGTGTTATACTCTAATGTCATTATGTTGAATGTGTCTGTCTCCCTGTGAGTTCCTCTGGGTGCACAGGTTAGGGCACCCAGGGGACTGCCCAATAAAACCTCCTGGAACTAATGTGAGGCTGAGAAGGTGATGCTGTCACAAGCCTTGCTGCTTCTAACAGGTGGAGTCCAGAGAGGAGGAATGCAGATGGAGAGATGAGACGGGGCAAAGCTCACATGTGTCCTCGACTGGGACCACATATTTCCCAGAATATCATAAAAACAGAGGATGGATTGCAGCCCCTGGCCTATAACAATCCTATACCACAGGACAAACAGCTTGTGGCCTCAAGACCCAGGAACTCTCAATGGGAAAACTAAGCTTTCTGAACCAGAGAAATTATTCTACAAGTAAAGTGCTATTGGCCCTCTTCTTTCTTCATCCCAATTAGGACTTTGCAAACCATTTTTAATAATGAACAAGAGGGAAAGAGAGTGGGTATGGGCGGTCCATGCAGACATCCACTGTCTCCACTGTTTTTGGAAAACAATGGGGCATAAATACCTAACTGAATCTCCAGGGGCTTCAATTCCCGAAAACCTCAGAGGTGGGAGAATTCACGAGTGTGGAACTCAAGACTCCACAAAGAAAATACAGTTGGGGAGGAACGAGTTTGCTGGTGAACCTCTGAGGCCTTGATAAATGATCACACTGGATATCACCAAACAATAAAAGTAGCCCCCAAATAAGCAGGATACCAGTGGCAGCACGCATTTATCAACTTAGTACAGACTAGAGCCTGTGCAGGTGATTCCAACTTATCTTGCTCAGCAGAACCTGCTCAGCACCCTCCTCCTCAGCAGCTGCAGCGAGCTGCCCACAAATGCATTTGTGAGGGCCACATACACAATCAGATTTTCCTCCCTGCTGATTTATATTTCTCGATTTGCACCTGCCTGGGCCCCAGGTGTCACCAAGCTCCCTTCCTCTTTCCCCTCTCCCAGCTCCTAGGGGCCACTAGACGGCAGTTTAAAAGGATGAGATTCCTTTCTTCATCTGCCTTTATCTTTCCTGGGGCCTGACTGCAAAGCCTCTGCTCCTGCCCTACCACCCACTCCATCTTCCCTCATCATTCCTGCATGGGGGCTGCAGAGGCTGTAATTCACAAGGCAGGTTCCGAGGCTCTCCTGGCTGCAGCAGACATCAACTGCTTTTGCTTGCCCTCACCCATCCCCCTCCTCCTGGAAACAGTATTTCCAAATTTTCCTTTGAGGAACTCTTTCTCTCCCACTTCCAATACACAAATGTCAGCAGGCTGGACCCCAACTCCGCTCCAAAGCAGACAACTGACCCAAGGAGCATGGCCAATCAACACGTTCCACCCCTGTGGACACAGAGATAGTCAAGGATGGGCAACTGACCCAGGTCATTATAAATACAGCCAAGCCAATGGCCTTACTTGGGATTTTGCTGGACCTACTGAGAAAGCAGCACTCTTTCTGCTGGGGTTGAAAAATTAGTACAAAGACAAAACTATGCCTGAAGCTGCTTGCCACCACTTGGAGAGAGCCTACGTGAGACCTGGAAACATTCCCAAAGCACCTGGATTCACGCATGGCTGAAGCACACCCTAGACACTCCCATCATATGAGCCAATGAAATGTCAGGTTTCATTTTTTTTCCTTGAACCAGTGTGAATGGAGTTTCTCTCACTTGCAACTGAAAGAATCCTGACTGGTACAGGGTCCAGGGAAAGTAAGTTCGTGTTGGAGAAGCATTTCCACGGATGTATGTTTGTGCATATAAACAAAACTCACCTATACTCAAAAACTCTGAGGGAGCATACCATACCTTTGCACAGCGAAGACAAAAATACAAGGCAGAATCAGAGAAAAGGAGGGACATGTTTGTTGTAAATTTTCTTAAAACCTGACCTAGGATGGTTATAACAATTAAGGTCACCTTGCAGTTCTTTGCTGCCAGGTCATCATAGTGAGGACTAGGTGGGGTTTCAAGCCCTCAGGGGACTCACCTTCATCTGTGATGGTGCCACTGCTGGAGCCCCCACTGCTCTTGGACTGCCGATGGGATGAGGAGGAAGACACTGAGGACTCTGCAGTGTGACCTTTGGGTGAGGGGGAGGGCGTGAGGGTTGGAGAGGTGCTCTTGGAGGTAGTGGAAGTTCCAGATGGAGGCCTTTTGCTGGTCTCCAATTTCTGCTGAACAGAGTAAGACAAATACATAAGCCATCGCCTGTAGGGTAGAAATGATGAAAACAGACACCCACAACAAGGAACATGGGCGGTATCTGACTCAACACAATGTTTAACCGGGGCTATGAAATCTACTTTTAAAAACATGCAAAGCAGAAACAGCATTATCAGAACAATTAAGAGGAAAATCCAACCCTGGAGCAGAGACAGGATGAGATCAAATAGCTGCACGTTATGAGTCAGGAAACCCCGTCCCAGTCCTGCCCTCCAACTACTTGCATTGTGTCTTTGGCCAAGTCCTCCGAGCTCTCTGGGCCTCAGTTAACCAGTTGTAAAATCAAAGTGTGGCTTACGGAGGCACAAAGTCTCTTTCTGTTCTTGATGCTCCTTCATCTACACCAGTCACTTCCAAGCTTTTCACCAAAGAACACGTATTCTTCCCTTTTTCTCATTGGTTAGCTTTACAACAAAGGCTTTTTACATTAAAATAATTCTAGACATATAGAAGAGCTGCACAGATAGAATAGAGTTCCCATATACCCCTCACACAGCTTCCTGATATTAACATCTACATCATCACAGTATAATGATCAAAACTAAGCAGCTGACATTGACACAACACTATTAACTAAACTACAGACTTCACTGTGTTTCACTGGCTGTTCTTCTCATGTCCTTACGCTGGTCTGAGATCCGATCCAGGACCCCATGCTGCATGGAGCTGTGCTGTATCTCCGTAGGCTCCTCTGACCTGTGACAGCACTGTCTTTCCTTGTCTTTCATGACCCTGACATTTTTGAAGTCTTGGTCAGGTATTTTGAAGAATGCACATCATTTTGGGATTGTCTTATGTTTTCCCATAATTAGATGTGCTTGTGAATGTAGGGGGTAATGACCACAGAGGTGATACGCCCATTCAGTGCATCATTATGCAGAGAGGACATAGTATCTGATTACTGGCGATGGTAACCTTCATCACTTACATGAGGGGATGTCTGCCAGATTTCTCCATTATAAAGTCACTATTTTTCTTTTTAATATTCTTTGGGCCGGGCGCGGTGGCTCACACCTGTAATCCCAGCACTTTGGGAGGCCGAGGCAGGCAGATCAACAACATCAGGGGTTCAAGACCAGCCTAGCCAATATGGTGAAACCCCATCCCTACTAAAAAATACAAAAATTAGACAGGCGTAGTGGTGGGCGCCTGTAGTCCCAGCTACTTGGGAGGCTGAGGCAAGAGAATCACTTGAACCTGGGAGGCAGAGGTTGCAGTGAGCTGAGATCGTACCACTGCACTCCAGCCTGGGTGACAAAGTGAGACTCTGTCTCAAAAAATAAATAAATAAATAAAAATAAAAAATAAAATATTATTTGGGAAAAGATTTTTTGGGTAACTATTTATTAAGGTTCTGTCTATTAATTTTGCATTCATTGGCGAGTCTCACTGAGGCAAGTGTTACAGTGGTGTTCCCATGGTGATTTTCTATTGCCCTCGTTCCTTCCACATTTATTATCTGTAATACTTCTATAAGGAAGAGTTGTTCTTTCTCTCCCATTTATTTGCTCAATCATTTATTCCTATCAGTATGGGCTCATGGGTATTTTTTATGCTCTGGGCCATAATCCAATATTACTGTTATTTTGTAGCTCATTATTACAGCTTTGGCCATTGGGAGATCTTTTGGGTTGGCTCCTGTATCCTTCTGACGTGCCATCTTTCTTTCTTTTTAAAAGTATTTCCCTACTTTCTGACACCACAAAATACTTTAAGCTCATCTTATATTTCTGTTGACCCAGTACCAGAATAAACCACTTCTCCAAAGCTTTCCAAGGTCCCTTTTATTAGAGAATGGTATTTAGAAAAACAAAATCTGGGCACTAGGTTGCTCACTGGTACTGGGACATCACTGCTTCTAGGTCCTCAAAGTGGACAAAGACACATATACACTAACCCTTGTATACACACATAGCCACATCTACTTTTATATCTACTAACTTTGTGTGTGTGCAACTCTCTGTGTATTTAAAAGCATGCACTCATACTGATTCATACCGATATCTCTGACTTCAATCCAACATCCATAGGTTTTGTTCTAGCATTCCTCCTTTGATTCTGTCTCTGACAGTAAAAACTTTGCTACTTACTTATTCAATCCTGGTATACATGTTAAGTGTACATGTATGCAAAAAAAATTTTTAGCCCATATCCTGGTAAGGATAGCAGAACTGTTAGCCCATACGCTGGTAAGAAAAAAAATATCAACTAGAGTACAGTACTTGTATACAGTACTTTTTGTCTTTAGCCTAATATCCACTCAACACATGATTTTCTCCTCCACCTCCTACAATGTGGTTAGGTCATTCATTTGTAACACACTTAGACCTTTTGTCATAGTTTGCATTATGTCTTTGGTTCCTGGTTGATTTTTTTTTTTTTTTTAATTTGCATAAGTAAAAAAAAATAGCTCTGCTGCATACAATTCCATGGGATCTGACAAACACGGTGTTATGCATCCACCAAGAGAGTATGATACAGAAGAGTTCCATCATCCTCTGAATGTCCTTAAGCGGTCCTTTTCTAGCTAATCCCTCCTCCTAACCCCAAGCCATAAAAACAAACACTCTATGTTCCATCCTGTGACTAGAGAGGAAAAAAATAAACTATTTTTCCTCTATTCTTACCCCACAACAATCAACACAGAATGTGTCTGTGACCAAACATACGGAGCTTTCTTCCCCTACACACCAACCAAGCAATCAGTTCTGCAGTGGACACCAGCTGAGTATCCTCCAATTCAAGTCTGACACGATCTATCTGAATACAGCATCAAATCCCACAGGTTGAGGGCTCAGTCTCAGGAGACTGCCCCCACTTCAGATGCCAACTGCAAGCCCCAGATTGCTTTACCTGTGCTTTTGACTGGCTATAAATCAGAGTTTCCACAATTCCCTCTTTGGGTTTGAATAATTGGTTAGTGGCTCACAGAACTCAGGGCAACACTTACTTACATTTACAGGTTTATATGGAATATTATTCAGCCATGAAAAGGATGAAATCCTGTCATTCAAAGTGCTTTTGACTGGCTATAAATCAGAGTTCCCACAACTCCCTCCTTGGGTTTGACTAATTGGCTAGTGGCTCACAGAAATCTGGGAAACACTTACTTACATTTACTGGTTTATATGGAATATTATTCAGCCATAAAAAGGATGAAATCCTGTCATTCAAAGCAACATGGATGGAACTGGAGGACATTATGTTAAGTGAAATAAGCCAAGAATGGAAAGTGAAAACACCACATACTCTAACTCATATGTGGAAGCTTAAAAAGATGATCAATGGAAGTAAAAAGTAGAACAGAGGATACTAGAAGGTGGGAAGGGAGGGACAGGAAGAGATTTGTTAAAAGAATACAAAATTATAGCTAGATAGGAGGAATAAGTTCTAGTGCTCTATATCACTGTAGGATGACTACCGTTAACAATAACATACAGTTTCAAAAAGCTAGAAAGAGGATATTGAATGTTCCCAACACAAATAAATAATAAGTGTCTGAGATGATGGATATATAATTACCCAGATCTGATCACTATATATTATATGTATCTAAATATCACTATGTACCCTGTAAATATGTACAATTATTATGTGTCAATGAAAAAAATAAAAATTTAAAGATATTTCCAGGATATAAATAAATAAATGTATAGGGCAAGGCATGGAGGAAGGCACAAGGAGCTCCCACGCTCTTCCTGGGCATACTACCCTCCAGGAGTCTCCAGGGGTTCAGCTGCTTGGCTCTCTGAACCCAGTCCTTTTCAGGTTTTCACGAGAGCCTCATTACAGAGGCACAACTAATTAAATCATTGGCCACTGATTATCAACTAAACCTTCAAACCCTCTCCCTCTCCCCAGAGGTTGTGGGGTAGAGTGAAAGGCTCAACGCTCTAATCCTGCCTTGGTCTTTCCTGTGACTGGTTGCCATCCTGAAGCTACTTAGGGGCTGCCAGCCATCAGTAAATTCATTAGCACACAAAATGACATCACTTTGGAGATTCTAAGGATTCAGGAATTGTATGACAGGAAACTGGATGAAGACCAAATACACATTTCACAGTTATCACACATCCCTACAGTGTTGCTGTTTCCAGAATGTCATATAAATGGAATCACACAATTTGTAGACTTTTGGGTCTGTCTTCTTTCACTCAGCATAATGCCTTTAGGATTCACTCAAGCAATCGCATGTATCAACAGTGTGTCCCTTTGTGATGCTGTGCTGTGTTCTATTGAATGAATGTACTACAATTAGTTTATCTATTCACCTGTTGAAGAACATTTGGGACGTTTCCAGTTTGGGGTGATTACTTTGTAAAACGAATACAAAGATTCACAGATTTTTGCATAAGGAGAAATTTTTAAAAAATCTACCTAGTAGTCAGCAGTTAGCTGGGTCACATCACAAGTGAATGTTTAGTTTTATAAGAAACTGCCTATCTTTTTCTTTTTTTTATTCTCTTTTTTTGAGACAGAGTCTCGCTCTGTCGCCCAGGCTGGAGTGCAGTGGCGCAATCTCGGCTCACTGCAAGCTCCGCCTCCCGGGTTCACGCCATTCTCCTGCCTCAGCCTCCTGAGTAGCTGGGACTACAGGCGCCCGCCACCGCGCCCGGCTAATTTTTTGTATTTTTTTAGTAGAAACGGGGTTTCACCGTGGTCTCGAACTCCTGACCTTGTGATCCGCCCGCCTCGGCCTCCCAAAGTTCTGGGATTACAGGCGTGAGCCACCGCGCTGTACCATTTGCATTCCTATTAGCAATTAATGGGAGTTCCAGTAGTTCCACATTTGTCATCAGCAACTGTACCTTTTTAAATCTTAGCCAGTCTAATAGGTATATAGTTCTATCTTAATTATGGTTTTAATTTGCATTATCCTAGTAACTAATGATGGTTAAACATGTTTTCATATGCTTATTTTCCATCTTTATATTTTCTTTGATGAAGTATA